TCATAAGGTATTTCCCAGTACCATTAACCGTCTAATCGGAACTATCCGAACTCTGTGATGTGTTAGCTGTGTCACAGTATCAAGCAAAGAAACTCGTTCAGAGCGTTCATATGTCAATGTCCATAGCTCAGTCTCCACTGCCATGACCTTCTGTCGCTTGCTTGCCGTTTGTCTGAGTCTGGGCAACAATTTGGATAAAATGTCACATTTCCCCACCACTGAATACATTGTTTACCATGAGGCTGGACAGGGCATTTGGTCGGTGCCTACCCAACAAAACTTGCAGACTATCTTTCTTCGCCTTCTTGTTGCTGACGAGTTATGTCCCTTTGACTACGTCACTTAGAGTTCGGCTGTCGGCTATGTATACGCCATTCACACGATGTAACAACTTCACTAGCATCTCACGTCCACTCAAACTGACCAAACTTGTGAAAGGGTGCCCTCTTCTGCCCTGACAAAGTGGTCTATGCTTTTCGCCAATGTTAACTTCCTCCCCCTCATACGCCAGAGGCGTATGTCTCAGTGCGTTACTCTGGGCTCCTGGTCTAGTGTCCCCAGGGTCACTGGGTGCCGGAACGCTACCCTGGGTACGGTCCGCGTTTATACCGGAAACGTACCCTTGGTCACTATTTGAGTATGGTTAGGTTAGGAAGTTAGGGTTTAAGGGTTAAGGCGATCGCGGTTCGGGTTCGGGTTCGGGTTCAGGGTTAGGCGAAGTTAGGCGTAGGGGACTCCCTAGACTCCGTTACGTGAAGTTAGGCGAGGTACGGTGCCGCCATGATAACATCATAGTAGCCAGGGTAGGCGTTCCGGTATACCGCCGGACCGCCAGCGTCGACGTTCGGCAGTCCCCCCACCCCGGGGGCGACACGCGACCCTATCAAGCGTATACTTGGTATCGCGCACGAAAAACTCTATCACGCGATGCAAGCCGTCCTGCAAAATCCCAATTCACACGCTCTTTGGTCGCGTGCGGAATTCAGGTCACAAACAATGGTCTATGGACTCGCGCTGGTTTTTGATTACTGGGAGAAAAACCGGTGTCTTTTCGGAAGCGTCGGCGTTTTTGTTCTCGGATACAATAGTTCCTTGAACTGTTGCCAAAACGGATCCTTAGCGCAGAATCATTTGCGTCACCGTGCTTCGGCGTCCACGGTGAACACTATATCCTTGCGGGCAGGGCTGGTCTCCAATCACGTGGCGAGGAAGATAGCTGTCTGTATCGCATCAATCCTTACTCTGGCCCCCCACTCGCCGCGCCATAGTACACATCAAAACCTTACGTGAATCTTGTCCCCGCAGTTATCGCTGAGATTTTCGCCGGCAATTCCACTTGCTGCGGAGGTTTTAGTGACTGCATCTTGTCGTCAGAGCAACACGAACACTTCTGACACAGCTGTTGTTATGTCTGTCTGTGACAATCAACTAACAAGTGACACAAGATTCAAACATAGAACGTGTATTCAGAACGACCAAATGTGTAAAATAATGGGCAGAACACTGGCCTGAGCAACTGCCGCCAGGCATCAGCACGGAACATTCTCGTAACATTCGCTGGAGTTCTAAGTTCTGGTTACATTAGCCAAAATAATGTATAAGAACATTAACCATATCGTTATGGCTATTCTTAGTTTACTGGTGAGAGAGTTATGTTCTTGAGATGTTCGACGAAACGTTAACACGTAGCCTCGGATATGGGTTCGAAAACCTCCCTAATATTAGCCGTTTTTGTGCATGTTGGAAACTATAGTCACGCACGGTTCACATGTATTTTTGTTCGAGTGGCTACGGGGACGAGGTAGCCCGTTATCTTAGATGTCTCGAGCTGACGGGTAGCGGTATCCATATTGCGCGCATGCATCTCGCTTCCCACAAATAATGTCGTCACGTAGCTATTAAGTAATCTCCAGCTCTAGTAATTAATTAATTATAAAAAAACAAAAAAAAAAAATCTAATTAATTTTAATTTATTTATTTATTATAGTCTACACTAGTTGTTTTGAGATTGATTGTGCAGTTCAGAAACATTCAGTTTCAGTCTTGTTATTGAAAGACGCCAAAGGTTATACACACCATAGTGATTAATTATCTGTGTGTTTAGACGCTATCGATATACGACTCGAGTCTGCTTTATACATTTGTGTTAAGGTTAGTGCATAGGCAGGGCGGCGCCAGGGTTATTTTCTATAGGGGGGGCAAACCAGGGGCGTGTAGGCAGGAGCCACGCGACAGGGGGTGGTCTGGGGGCTCGTCCCCGAGCGAATTTTTGAACATTAGACGCCCCTCAGATGCGTTTTCTGCGCGAGCAGGACCCCGCCGGTGTGACACGGCCCCTGGAACTGTAGACTGATACCGTGGTGCGCTTGCAACTGATCGGTGAGTCGCAGGGGGCATAGATCCCATGATTCATCCAAGCTGGTCGTTACGCAAAATATTTTGTTGCGTAAATCTTGTGTAGTCGCAATGCGACGGTTTGCTTAGTTGCGATTCATAACCAGCTCTATTTAGTGAATTTTCGTATGATTTCGCGCACGGCAAGCGAGCCGTTTTAGGTGGGCGATTCATCAAGCTAAAATTTACGTAAACCTTTGCGTAACTTTAACACGAGCTGACGAGGTGCCGAGTAAACCACTCGAAATTTTCCGCAGGTGTTTGAGCATACCGCAGCATGCATTATTTTATTGAGAAAACATTATAAAGTTACTACTCAACAAAAATAAATAAATAATTACCATACTAGGCCCTACACAGACAGGCGGCGCCTTTGACGGCTTTTTTGTCATAGTTGGCATTGTTTTCGTTATAAGCGAGTTCGTGTTCGCCGTGTACGTGCACACGCACGCACTTGTACGTGCACACAAGCACGCAGCGTGTACGTACACACGCCACGCGCACGCCCGTTGTACGTACGGCAACGCAACGCACGTGTCAGCGTGCCACACGCCCAACGCACGTGACGTGCACACACACGCACGCACGCACCTGTACGTGCACACGCACGCGTACGTGTCGCTGCTTTCATCGAGTGTTGAACACAATCATACAAACGAAAAATGAGGACAACTATCACATCCCCCAGCACTCATGGTAGACAGCTAGAGCAATATGGTTTACATACAGAGAGGCGTCAGTTTGGTTCCTATGGTATGTGTCGCAGCAGTGTGATTGTTTATGTGCTAGGACACGCCCCTCAACAGCCGCAGCTACGATGGCGTAGTGGATTTACACTGGAATTCATCAAACATTTGCGTAACGCAGCGGTGCTACGCTGCGTTGTGCGAACTCGCACCTACGAGCTTAGCGTACGTACTTTCGTAGAAACTCTGTTGTCGCAATACACTTTGCGCAACGTTGATGAATACCGGCCCCAGGGGCCCGCCTTAAGTGCCCGCTGGTGGGTCCAGGGGCCGAGCCCCTGGCAGGGGTCCGGAGAAGCTCTCAGAGTTTACCAATCAAAGCCCTCAAATTGCTGACAAAAAAAATTGTGGCAGGGAACCAAGGGAGCAACATATACCAAGGAGATGAACCCCGGGGGGAGGACTTACCCACATTATGGTAGGTATCTGGTATGTGCCACTGCAAAGTTAAAA